TGTCAGAATGTTATATTGTATATTAGTCTGTCTTACAATGCATTGTCAAAATGTAAATATGTGCTACCCCAGGAATAGTAGCTGCTGCACTGCTGCAGTCAATAAACTAAACTAATTAGAGTCTTTATGTCATTTTAATAATGTGAAAGTGAGTCGCTGATCATAAAACATATCATAACTGTCATATTAGGTCCCGATCACTCATTACAAAATAAAACAAAGCAAAAATCATTTAATTAGTTTTATATAACCTACAACACAGAATACATAAATCCAGAGACATATTTCATTTAACAACTCATACATATTTTTGGCATGTACCATGTTGAGGTCAAGGCATTCTTTTGTTATTTGTATTGACAACCAATTAAAGCAATACACAGAGGTGAACAAGCATGTAAAGATATTACTTTGTATTTAGAGATGGATGCTGAAGAGAGAACGCAGACAGTAAAATTGCGGCATGTCTTCTTCCCAAAGCAAGGACCTTCAATGTTGTTTTTTTAATTCCTGAATTTCTTGGACTTTGTAAATAACAAAGATGGTGATGAAAATGCTTCCCAGGATGACTGAAGCGATGTTCAAGGCCATGGCAGTTCGTGATGCATCCTCAGCTAGAGCTATTTCTCCCTGTTCGTTTGCAGCCTTCACCTTTAAAGTTTTTAATAATCAAAGCTCAGTTTCATTTTACATGCAATTAAAGATGTGAGAAGAAGAGTGTATGAAAATCATCAGTGAAATGTTTGCTATAAGCAATTCAAGTTTTTCAATTTCACTTGTAGGACATGATTAAAGTGTAACATACAGTAGACCTGTTTAGAACTTCTTATTATCTACTCAGAAAACATTAATTGAATACTCATGAATCTGACTGGATTTCTTAGAATTTGCTGTATATTTTAATGATTTTACATTGACAGTTTAATCTAAATAAAAATCATCTTTGTAAAACACAAAATGTGTTTTTAAGCTGTGCATCAGAATAAAGAGAATCAATGAGAAAAACAAGTTCAGCAAATGTTACCTTCTTAGAGTAACGAATGGCAAAAGCCCCAAGAGGCAGACAGCAACAAAGAGCACTGAAGTAAGACCATCCAAGATAGGATGGAGGAGGAGCACGAGTTTGGCCAATTTCCATTTGGTCCTCTTTGCCAACTTGTAGTAGATGAGAATTATGAATTATTGGCAAGTGTCTGGATCGAGTGGCTGGTGGGAGTTCTGACTCACATCGTTTTATTGTGTCGGGGTGTGGTTACTGCTTACATAGAGCTGACCTCTTTGTGATATGAATGTAGGTCAACACATTTTTAAAGAATTTCCAAAAATGAGGTAAATAAGAAGAACAATTGTATTTACAAACAACAGATCATCAGACTGAGCCCTGGAACATTGTATGTTATTTTGTTATTTTTTAAAATTTATTTCATTAATTTAAAATGTTTTTTAAAGATATGACAACCTGATCTGAGATATCAAAAACAGGGTTTCAAAGTGTTTTACATCAAAACATGGTGTATAAAAATCTATCACATCCCAAAGAAGCAAGAGAAACTGTAGTGCAGGAATAATTACAGTGGAACCGAGTAGCTGGGAATAAAATAACCTAAAAGCCCACAAATAAGTCTTTCAAAATGATATAAAGGGAAAATTTACTAGATTGTGGTTTAACATGCTGCATTCAGAACCATCAGCGTTGGGCTTTTTGAACTCTGAATTCATTTACTAAGGTCCCTTTAATCTATTTATCTTACACT